GGGCCCCTCGGGGGCGGGGGGGGGGGCGCCGAGGGCCAGCCCCGAAGATGCCCACCAACGGCCTGCACCAGGTGCTGAAGATCCAGTTTGGCCTGGTCAACGACACCGACCGCTACCTGACAGCCGAGAGCTTCGGCTTCAAGGTCAACGCCTCGGCACCCAGTCTCAAGCGGAAGCAGATGTGGGTGCTGGAGCCGGACCCGGGGCAGGGCCCGGCCGTGCTGTTCCGCAGCAGCCACCTGGGCCGCTACCTGTCAGCCGAGGAGGACGGGCGCGTGGCCTGCGAGGCGGAGCGGCCGGGTCGTGACTGCCGCTTCCTGGTCCTGCCGCAGCCCGACGGGCGCTGGGTGCTGCGGTCGGAGCCCCACGGCCGCTTCTTCGGTGGCACCGAGGACCGGCTGTCCTGCTTCGCCACGGCCATCTCCCCGGCCGAGCTGTGGACCGTACACCTGGCCATCCACCCGCAGGCCCACCTACTGAGCGTCAGCCGCAGGCGCTACGCGCACCTGTGCCCGCAGGAGGACGAGATGGTGGCGGACAGTGACACGCCGTGGGGCGTGGGCGCGCTCATCACCCTCATCTTCCAGAACCGGCAGTACTGCCTCAGGTCCTGTGACAGCCGCTACCTGCGCAGCGACGGCCGCCTCGTGTGGGAGCCCGAGCCCCGAGCCCGCTACACGCTGGAGTTCAAGGCCGGCAAGCTGGCCTTCAAGGACTGTGATGGCCGCTACCTGGCGCCCGTGGGCCCCACTGCCACGCTCAGGGCGGGTCGCAACACGAGGCCCGGCAAGGACGAGCTCTTCGACCTGGAGGAGAGTCACCCGCAGGTGGTGCTGGTGGCCGCCAACCACCGCTACGTGTCCGTGCGGCAAGGTAACGTGGGTGCGACCGGGCCGGCCGCTCTGACCTCAGCGTGGGGGCTCGCTTGGGGCAGTGGCATCGTGTCCGCGCGGGTGGCGACGCGTGGTGGCAGTGCACGGGGCAGGGGTGCACCCTGGGCCGCGTGTGGGGGTCCCGGCAGAGGGCTGCGGCTGCAGGGCCAGAAGGAGGGGGTCCCTCTCGGGACCACTGAGCCCTGGGCGTGCTGGGCAGCGGCTCGAGTGGGGGACGGGCAGTGCCCAGCAGGAGGTGGGCAAGGCCCAGGCCGGCTGCTGCGAGGGGCAGGGGCCTGCCCCCGCTGTCCCCACCCACCCCTTCTCTTCCACCGCTCCATTTTCTGAACTTTATAGGAAATTGGGGAGGGGGCTGAGGAAAGGGCCAGGAGCCAGCAGGAGTGCGGTGGGCAGGGCTCCGGTGCCCACACCACCGGTGCCTGACCAGTGGGGATCCTCCACCAACCCAGGGGTGGAATGAGGAGGGACCTCGGGGTCTCTCCAGTATGGTGCTCGGTGCCCGCCCACCCCCCACCCCCACCCCGCCGAGGCCTGGGCTTCTTGGTGGAAGCCATGGTCTCTGCCCGGTGGGTGCAGCCTGGTTCTCTGCATCCTGGATCATCGGTCACCTGCCTCGTGTGCCCAAGGGGCCTTTCCACGTGTGATCACACACCTACGGGGTGAACACGGGCAACTGCTGCTTCCTTGAGAAGAAGCTGAGGTTCCGGAGTGGCCCCTCGCTAGGCCCAGGCCGGCAGTCATGGCTGGCCCTACTTGGGCTCCTGGGTGTGTGCACCCTGACCTGGCCCCTGGTCCCGCTGGCAGAGGCCCAGCCACTAGCCCCCTGGTGGGGGGTGGGGGGGACAGCCCTGTTGTGGCTGTGGGGGCCCTGCCTGGAGTCAGGGTTCCCAAGGCCAGTCCTGTGTGGGGACGGTCATCCAGCAAACCCCTCCTGCACGCCTGTCTGGACCGTGGCCAGGTCGTGGGGCACAACGGAGGACAGTCAGCCCTTGTCCTTCCCAGCACAGGCCCTACAGTCCAGCCGCACGGCTCTCTGGCCCGCAGGAAGGCCCCTGTGGTTGGTTCGTCAGTAAAACGCAGCCAGTGGTGTGAAGGGCTTCCTCCGCGAGGGTCAGAGGAGGTGTTGGACACAAAGGCGGCTGTGAGTGTTCAGCTGGCGAGCAGGGCCGCGGTGGCACTGGAGGTGGTGACAGGGACAGTGCTGGTGGCGGTGGTGCCGTCTGGACTGTTCTCCCGTCTCGGGACCACCGTGCACCTGCCTGTCCCTTTCATGGGGGAATCCCCTACTAAGGGCAAGCTCTGCCTTCCAGGGTAGAAGCCGGACACGCCCCACGTTCGCCTGCTCGGTCCTTTGCAATAAGTCTGAGGGCATATGACCTGCCCCCCACCCCCCATGTTCAGATGCTGACCTGGCAACCAGTGGCTTGTGGGGGGGACACGGGGGCTGCCGAGGCAGCCGGAGCTGCAGGTTCTGCCGAGTGCTGGTGGCTTCATCCCAACGCTGTTGCTGGCCGGGCAGCCCCAAACCCGTCTTCCTCCCCATGGGGTGTCTGGGAGCGCCCCACTGGCCTGCACGATCTTCTTTAACCTCCATCAACCAGAGCCTGCTTGTTTCTGCTGCTTCCACCGCTGGCCTTCAGTGACACAGTGTGGCTAACAGAAATATGGTCCCGAATGGCCCAAGGACACGAAGTATCTCATATAAGTGCAAGTCTGAGGCCCTGGGGTCGTGGGGTCGCAGGCAGGACACCACTGCCAGTCCAGTGGCGTCATCAAAGCCCTTTGCTCGCTTCTCGTGGGGCTGCTCTCCTGGGACAGCTCTGACATCCGGCTGGTGCCCTCGTGGTCACAAGACGACCGCTGACAACAGCCGTGTGAGCTGGAGCCCCTCAGCCGCGGTCTGTCTGGAGGGGTGTGTGACCGGAGATGCCCAGGACGCTGGCCTCAGAGGTGGCAGCGGCGTGCGGCCCCGGCCAAAGCCCACAGCGCCCACGGGCACTGGACACTGTCAGCACTGCTGATGGGACGGTGGCGGTGGAGACAGACCCCGCTTTGGAGGGACGGCCTTGGGAGCCAGCCAAGGACCCCAGGTCTCACCCTCTCTAGCACAGGCCCTGCCTGGCGCCCGCCCCACCTTCCTGGGGACAGGCTTGGACAGGATCTGGCCCTGACCCTCAGGCCCCCATTCCCTCCGGCCCCACCAGCCGGACACGCTGGAGGCCAGCCTCGTCCGGAGCTCTATGATGTGTCACATCACTGGAAACAGGGGCTTGGTTCATGGGAACATACCAGGGAGGCTCCGGTGCCTGCCCTCTCCCCTCCACCCCACCCCGGCATGAATGTCCCCTGTGTCCCCCTTCCAGGAACCCCAGGCAGAGCCTCAAATAGTCTTGCCCTCCCTCAAGGCTCCTGGGAGACCACACATGTGACAGGGGGGCTGGGGAGGTGACAGGGGACCAGCCTCTGCTCAGTGGACCCCAGGCCCCAGCTGTGTGTCCTGGGCGATGGCTTGAGGAAGAAAGGGACCCCACTGTGCCCACCCAGTGGCTTAGAGTGACTTATAAATAGAGGCTGGTGTAAGGCTTGGGTCGAGAGGGCAGAGGCAAGCTGATTACCTGACGATTAGCAGAGGCAGGGGATTTGCCGGCACGGAAGGGCCCGGCTCCTGGGGCTGTGGCAGGAGCTGGGCCAAGGACCTTCAGGGAACCAGACGTGGAGATCTGCAGTGAGCCCATATGGCCATGGGGGCCCCCGCCCTCCGAGAAGTGCCTTCCAAGTCTTAATTCCAAAGGGTTCTGGATGAGAGCCCCTCTGTCTCCAGCGTTGCCCCCAAGCATGCTTTTCCCCACCTTTCTGCTCCCACCCCCCCCCCCGACCCAGGGAGAGGCGTGAGGGGCTTCCCATATCCTCCCTCCAGGGGTCAACGTCTCAGCCAACCAAGACGAGGAACTGCATCATGAGACCTTCCTGATGCAAATTGACCAGGAGACAAAGAAGTGTACCTTCTATTCCAGCACGGGGGGCTACTGGACCCTGGTCACCCATGGGGGCATCCAGGCCACGGCCACACAAGTGTGAGTGTGTCCCCATCTCCGCAGCACCTTCACTTCCACATCTGCCACCATCACCACCTCCACCACCACCTCCGTCACCACCGTCACCTCCATCACCTCCGTCACAACTGTCACCATCACCACCATCACCTCCACCGTCACCTCCATCACCACCACTATTGTCACCACCACCACCACTGTCACCACCATCACCTCCACCACCTCCGTCACCACCACAACTGTCACCATCACCACCATCACCTCCACCGCCACCTCTGTCACAACTGTCACCATCACCATCACCTCCGTCACCACCATCACCAGCACCATTACATCACCCCCATCTCCAGATCCATCACCACCGCTGTCACCTCATCTGCACCAGGAGGACCACTGGAACGAATGCCCACTGGGGTGAGGGGCAGCTCCTAGTGGTAGTGGGTGTGCCAGAAGGCAAGTGTCTCCCCCTGGGGGGGTTGGTCCTGGACCTGAGGGGGACGGGGAAGCCTGACCCTGAGCTCCCAATGTCTTGCTGCTCCGAGGGGACCATGCCCTGCCTTTTCCAGTTCGGCCAGCACCATGTTTGAGGTGGAGTGGCGCGGCCGGCGGGTGGCACTCAAGGCTAGCAATGGGCGCTACGTGTGCATGAAGAAGAATGGGCAGCTGGCGGCCACCAGCGATTTTGTGGGTGAGCACTCCTCACCTGTCCTGCGGAAAGAGGGCTGGGCTCTCTGCGCAGAGACCCCGGTCCCCACTAAGAACCCGTTCCTGCCCCCTGCATCACTGCTGCCACAGTGCTTGATAACCAGTCATCCTTGCTGGTCCAGAAAAGCGCTCGGGACACCAGGGAGCAGTCGGAGCCCAGAGCGCCCTCATCTCCACTGTACATTTGGGGGGACCTGGGGCTCAGTGGCCGCGGGCCCCTTGCCAAGGTCACCAATGGCCGTGGCCCACGGGGCCCACAAGAGGCGCCAAGAGTCCGGGCCCTTTACGTGCCCCGCCCACCTCACCCAACCCGGGAAGGCGGCAGGCGCGGGGTCACCCCTCAGCCCCCCACCCCGCCCCCCAGGTGAGGACGAGGAGTTCATTCTCAAGCTCATCAACCGCCCCATCCTCGTGCTGCGGGGCCTGGACGGCTTCGTCTGCCACCGTCGTGGCTCCAACCAGCTGGACACCAACCGCTCGGTCTACGACGTCTTCCGCCTGAGCTTCAGCGACGGCGCCTACCACATCCGAGGTGCGGATCCGGACGGGAGTCGGG